GCAGCTAATCCCTGCTTGGTCACACCCATGAAGTGATGCCTCGAGGCCGCCGCTCCGATAGCATCGATGGCGACGCCCAGGTTTCCGTCGGTGCCGTTCTTGAAACCGATGGGGAAAGACAGGCCGGAGGCGAGCTCGCGGTGGAGCTGGGACTCGGTAGTCCGGGCCCCAATGGCACCGACGGAGATGAAGTCGGCGAGGAACTGCGGGGAGATGGTGTCGAGCATCTCGCTGGCGATGGGCATGCCAGCATTCGTTAGGTCGCTGAACATCTGGCGCGATAATCGCAGGCCTTTGTTGATCTTGAAGCTGTTGTCGATATCCGGATCGTTGATCAGGCCCTTCCAGCCAACGGTGGTGCGCGGCTTCTCGAGATAGGCGCGCATAATGATGCATAGGTCATCGGACAGCTTCTCGGACAGTGCCTTGAGGCGGCCAGCGTACTCCTGGGCCATGGCAGGGTCATGGATGGAGCAGGGACCGACAATGACTAGCAACCGGTCGCTACGGCCCATGATGATGGAGACAGCCTCGCGGCGACCCTTCACGACAGTCTGGAGCGAGGCATCGGTCATAGGGATGTCTGAGATGAGGAGAGCAGGCTGGATCAGGGGATCCTGGCCCAGGACTTGTGTGCCGACGTATGTCAGCATGGGACGAGTACGGAAGAAGCGATTTTTCGTCTGATGGTCGGCATGAAGCGACTACGGAATCGAAGGATAGCAAGAACGCACTTTTCATTCTGAAGACATCCACTTGGTTCATTTACATTGCTCTTCTGCACGTAGCGCCGGTGAGACATGCAATTACACAAACGCCCAAACTATATTCGAAAGAGGATAAGAAAGGGAAAAAAAAGGGAAGGAAAAGAAAGCTACTCAGCATCTGCTAGGTATTGCTACTTACCTCTCATGTCGTCAGCCTTAAGCGGCGCCATGTCGACTCCCGGCATGTTTGGTGCAGTATTACAAAACGTAGATCGATACTCTACGCCTCGAGGGTCGCGAGAAAAAAGCTAGTTGGTGATACCTAGGGTAGCTTGCTGCAAAGGCACGGCTGGTTTGCTATAATAGTTCAATTAATCGATTGCCGTCTTAGTTCGGCGGTGGAGAGGCAAGAGGATTCGGCGGTGATGGACGTTACAAAAATGGAAATAGTAATTAAATCGGAGGGAACGGGGGTATCTTGAGAGATCGAAGTATCTAGATGTTTAGTGTAGTAAAATAGAAAATAAGATGAGGTGTGGTTCGGTGTAGGACGAGCAGCACATGGTAATGATATTTTAGTTGTGACGGACTGGCAATGAGTCAGTCCATAAAGTTGAAAGCAAAAAAAATAAATGTCCAGGAAGTACCCGGACAGGTCGCCCAGTGCGGGCGAGGTTCCGAATCGGCCAATTATTGGTGAAGAGATACCTCTTAGCGGGGTAAGCTCTAGAGGTGTTACTTGTTAGCTTGGGTAAGTAGCTATCCCTTAGCTAAACTAAGGTTACCTCTTAGTACATGTATGTAGGTTAGGTAGGTACATATATAGAGTTCTGGACTTCCTCTAGTCTAGCGAGTGGCACCTTACCTTTTACCTCGAGGTAAGATGAGCAGATACAGGCTATGTAATAGTTTTTCTTTATTTCGTTTTTTTTTTCACTCTCTCCCCAGTCCATTAGTTAGCCCGTAAATAACATAATGATTGTATTCGGTCGTCAGCAGTCAATTGAGGTGGTAGATACTCTCTGTATACTACCTGTTCAAAAATGCAAGTAGATATTCAGAATTGATACCCAAAAACGAGCGTCGAAGTCGTGCTGTATTTTGTGAGTTAGGTCAGCCCGCCACTCTACGGAGCCGGTGACGGAGCTGTACGGTACCTGCTGTGATTTGACCATGCACGAGAAAGAGGGGCAATGTTCTGTGCGGATAGAGGGGTTAAGAGGGACCGCACACTATCGATTAAGGATGCCTTGATGCAAGTGCCCAATCATATTTAAGACATTGAAATATGAGACATACTTGTACAGCGTAAACGGATACTACATACATACCTCTCTCCGTCTGCATGAAGGTATGTAGCTTTTAGATACTCGCCGCCTTATACTACCTAAGACCAGACATGTAAGACTTGCAGACGGATGCTACATACAGATTACATACATGTCGAAAATGCAATGAATTAGTTGGTCAATTGATGGACGGGTGCACTTACTAAATTTGTACGAGTCCAGGTATCGACAACGGCATAAATGGCATGATCTACGCTTTACCGCCGCTCTGCAGCAGCGTCGGTGCAGAGGTCAAGCAAATAACACCTCACCATCCAATAACATCATCTGCCCACACCACGCAGTTCTGCGGCGTCATTCCTAAGGTGCATACTTACCCAGGTAGGTATCTAGGTATATATCGCTAGCCGGCTTCTGTAGCTACCACACACAGAATACATATACATACATACATACGTACAAACAGGAATGTGCATATGCGTCCTACGGATGTGGGTAATCACTTGTGCTTTCTCTCCTACCCTACCGGCACCCTGAACCCATCAGCAGATACTCATATTGCCGTCGACATAATACAAACGATAGGTAGGATTGAGAGTAGGTAGTTAGTTAGTTGTATAGCACATAATGGCTACCCTCGAAGCGGGCGAAGTGCTTAACTTCTCCTTTACACTGCGTAGTGTTATAGGAAATGCAGAACGACTTAGAAACAAAAATACAACTAAGCGGGTAGATAGAGAGGGGCTATTTATTTATGCAAGTAGAATTTGCTGCAGTGAAACAAAAGATTGGAAGAATAGTCGGATGGGTGGATGGCTAGAATAAATGCAATTCAAGATGTATTTCGTCGTTACTAGTTAGGGTGGAAGAGAAGGAGGAGAACCATGCCATTAAGCCGCGGCGTATCTCTCTTCCTTTTGTAGCCAAAAGGCTATATTATATTATACTAGTTAGTATAATATAGTTGATGGCTATGTTTCCCCATCTCCCTTTCTTTACCTTCCTTCTTTCGCCTATCTACGCTCTAGACACATTGATTCTAGCGTATGTTCTCATCGGAGATTAGGTGTGAGATTGGCGGCTAAATACAGACAAAAACCCCATATCCGGAACCTGCTTGTCCGTAAACCTGGGGAAAACCCCACAGCATCGTGCTTTGCGGGCGGAATAAATATCCCAATTGGTGTCCTGGCTACTGCTGTCATTCAAAATGGACGTTGTCTCGGCGTTCTCTGTGCCTGCTCGCGCCAAGTAGCATACAGACAGACAGACAGACAGACCGTGACACTCTTTCGCCGTTTCACCTGTAGAGGTTCGGAGACATGAGGCTCAACGCCTTCTCCACCGCAGCCTGTCTGCTATGGACATCATGCGTAGCTGCATCTCCCCTAGGAGCCCAGGAACTGAAGTGTAGGCAGGATCCAGACTTTCACTGGGTGGCCACGTGGACGTCGATGCCGCAGTTAGTTGAGCAGAGCAATCTACCTCCGGCTCCCTTTGTAAGTGCAAGAACGGCCAAGTTCGGTCATGTCCGCTATAGCTAATGTCTATCTGATCTTCTTGCCCAGACTGGAAATGGTGTGTTCAGAGATGCCACTCTCCGGCAGACGCTCCACATGTCCATTGGTGCCGAGAGGATCCGCATCCGCATCTCCAACACGTTCGGCGGCAGTGCTCTACCGATCACAGCTGCCTCCCTGGCTCTCCCTACGGGCGGCCAGGCTGGTGTTAGTGGCATCGATACGAAAACCCTCCGAGGGCTTACGTTTAACGGCGCGAGCTCGGTGACCATACCCCAGGGTCAGGTGATCTACACCGACCCTATCGATGTCAAGATCGAGCCCCAGTCCATGATCACCGTTACTCTCTACTCCCAGGCCGGTCAATCAGGAACCAGCATCACCGGCCACCCTGGTAGCCGCACAACCTCGTGGATGCAGCAAGGGAACCACGTCAACGAGTCCTCCGTGACTGGGGCGAGCACGGCCCATTGGTACTTCTTGAATGCAGTTGAAGCTTGGGCTCCCAAGTCAACGGCGACCTTGGTGATTCTCGGCGACAGTATCACGGACGGCCGAGGCAGCACCGACAACCAGAACAACCGGTTAGATTAGACTTATCGCCGTATTGAGAGACGGTCCCATGAATACTAACTCGTAGAATAATAGGTGGCCAGACCTGCTGATCGCCAGAATGCAGAAGGAGAACATTACCAATATTGCCGTTGTCAACCAAGCAGCGGGCGGTAACACGGTTCTATCGGGAGGGCTTGGTCCGCCGCTCCTACAACGGTATAAGCGTGACCTCTTAGATACCGCAGGCGTTAAATACGGTCTCATCTTCGAGGGCGTCAACGACATCGGTTCCGCGTCGGCAGACTCGGGCACGCAATCACGGATCGGGACCAGTCTGGAGTCGGCCTTCAAAACGGTGGCGGCGGATGCGAAGGCGGCGGGCATCACGATGTTTGGCGCGACCATCACGCCCTTCGGCGGCAACGGGCAGGCCTACAGCAGCCCGGCGCGCGACTCGGCGCGGCAGACGGTGAACAAGTGGATTCTGGCGGGCGGCGACGGGAGCTATGCTGCAAGCATCGACTTCGCCAAGTTCCTGGCCAACCCGTCCAACGCGGCTGTCCTAGCTTCGCAGTACGATGGAGGCGATCACCTGCACCCGAATCCAGCGGGCTACCAGGCCATTGCTGATCAGTTCCCATTAAGCATCTTTACAAGTAAAAGAGTAGATAGGCCGCATTAAACAAGGGAAACGACGTCTACGTATGTATGGATGGATGATGTATGTATGTTGCTATATTCATTCATCTTTCTATGTTCATAGTATTGTGTGTATATATATATGCTTGCTTAGGGGGTGAGTGCCTTGTCTATTCTTAGGCGCTGGCTGTACTTACTGATCATGTATGCCATAGGGGGCGACAGGTGGGTGGTGGAGAGGAAAGCAAAATATATAACCTATTTGTACATAAGGTACAAAAAGGACATTCCGCCCCAGGCGGGGGTCGAACCCGCAGCCTTCGGATACACTTTTTATTATATATAAAAGTCCGACGCTCTAGCCAATTGAGCTACCAGGGCTGTGATTGTCGTCACTTTTACTGCAGCTGAAAAGGACTTGCAATCTTGCCGGTTTGAGACCACTTGAGCATCATGTAATGAAATGGAGACCGAAGTGAATGAATTCATCTCCCAAGTCCCACTTCCAAGTCCTTCTGCCCGCTTCCACCGCTCTAGATTTCTCTATATATATCTGCTCCTCCCCAGGGTACTTCTCGAACTCTTTTCCTCTTTCCTTCCTCATACTTACCTTGGAGGGAGAGAAGGGGGCTCAACAATCCCCGTCCTTAAGGCTGGCGGGCCTGCATTGCACATCGTGGTCGCCTTCCGCCTTTTGTCGATGCCTCGTGTGTCCCAATCTCCGCAATTTTTGATTGTTACCGTTTCGGTTTTGTTTTCATTGTGCCCATCACTGAGTGTGGTGACGCGAAGAAGACGTTGTTTGGGTCTCGATCAGTTTACTTATATCGAGATAGGTGGTTGGAATCAAGGTCGTAATTGTTCCCCATTCCCTCTTTTAGGCCCAGCGACGGTTTTGGTCACAGAATTTAAGATGTCGACGAGGCCTATCAGCAGCGCAAACGCTGGCACCCAGTAATATTGTCACGGGTATGCATCATGCATATTTCCTGCCGGATGATTGTAGTGGTAAACTAAGCGACTTGTTGCATTGTCGCAAGGCATAGCCACTGCTGCCACACCAAGGGAGAAAGAAGATCGAGTGTGCGACAAGCCGCCCGGTGACCGGACCCAACGGTCAGACCTGCGGTACACCCTAGAGGCAGAACTATCACGTAGACAAAGAAAGCTACCCATGTAGATAGTTACTTAGCTAAAGAGATGACCTAGAAAACTTTCGCGCAACCACGATTATCATTTAGTACTTACCCTAGATTAACGTCCCTAACATACATTAAACACGACTAGTTTTTATTTCCTTCGCTAGGAAACTATAGTGAGCAATTTATCCCGCTTAATATACTCCTTTATAATATGGACGATTCTCTCCTTAAACTATTAATAACAGAGTGTTGGCACCCTGCTCTATAGCTCTCGTTGGCTATTCCTTATATCGACTTGGACAAAGTTAAAGTAAATACTTTAATAATTAGTTCCTCACTTCTCCATGAACCTCGCTATAAGGCACAGCTAAATTCATCTCTTAAACACTTAACCTTCTTTCCTTTTTAAAAATTGGAAGCAGAAGGTGTCCTACATACATACATACTTACTGCTATCGACGCTGCACTCAAACTGTTGTAGTTTATTCATTTTATGCTAACCGAGTCGTTCATCCTTTTGTTGCACCTTTTTGGTCCATATTCCAGATTAATGTTTAAGGCTTGATGCGGACCTAGAGCTAAAACAGAGGCTCGGTTTGAAAACTTCCATCTCTAGTGTTTCATTACTAGCCCTTTAAGTTTTAATGTTTGCTTATATATTTAATCCCTATATACCTACCTCACCGTTTCTCCTTTTTAGAAGAGTAGGCTAAGAGGAAAGTGCTACCCGGTGCTTCTTTAACTAGTGATATCCCAGATTTTTTCTATATCCTAACAGTTTACCTACACTCCTTTTTCTTTTGTATTATCGGCTAAGCTTCACTGCTTCCTCACTTGAGTTACACTAGCGGCTACCTTGCACTGCGAAGTTTGTTAAATTCGATTATCTAGTGTGAAGCCCCTTCCTAAATAATCCTAAACATAGGTGCTTAAAAGTACATACGCTCCTCCTATATCTATCTCATGCTTCTCGAATGGCTTGATAGCTAGACGGTTTAAACAGAGAGCCTTTTAATTACAGTTTGAAGACTCGTTACCGGAACCTAAGCCACCCTGCCTCGAGCTTTTAAAAATATATTTTCATTGCCACCCCAATTAATCTATGTTGATAGCAAGAAGTTATGGCCAACAAACACCATTTATGAGCCAGATCGATCAATATTCTCATTTCAGACCGGTTCCTTGTCGGAGGATAGCACTTACCTCGGACCTTCATATTATCGACGGCTACAGTCACCATACATTCGGTCGCCCATAGTTGGCTTAGTGCCATTACTGCTCCCAGAGCTTCTTATTATCTATAATCTACGGAAAGATAACTAAGCATGAACACATATTAAGCAGGTTCATTTCTGTCGCTCCTGTAAGTTTCAATCCCGCCACGATGACTCTTCTACTCTCCGTATCCTATCCCTTACCATTGTTTCTCATTCTGTAGAGCCATGTCCGCATCCGAAAGGAACCAAGTACCATTAGAGGTACTCCATGTTCCTCTCTTTGAGAGAAAGTGGGTGAAGTACTTCGAGCGACCCCAAGCTAAAGCCTTCCTGGTGAGGAGTACTGTAACCTTGGCTAAGGTCAAACTATGGTGGACCAGAGAGGGTTACGCAGAGCTCAAGAAACACTATACAGGTTTGCCAGCCTTTGATGAAAATAGCTGGCACGGAGGGTTCATCGAAGGCCGCCAGCTTGTAAATCCATGTGTGCCGGTTTTCACTTGCGCCGGCTTGGAGCGACCACCTATACTCTACCGCGTTGTACACGAGCAACAACCTTACTATGGATTGAAGGCACGCGGCTATGGGAGTGTCAAGATCACCCCTACACTATTCCAGGCCTTTGTAGATAAACATCTAAACTGGAGAACTCGCAACTTAAGCCCATTTATATCCGTTACAGATTCTTGGAGCAAAGTGCAGCACATAAAAAGACTACTACAAGAACGAGGAGGTACAGGGCTTCGGATTGTGGTTTTCCGTTCTAGCGGCCCAGGCTGGAATCACAAGAGACAGCGGCTATTCCACGTTCCTTTGCTAGGCAAGTACCTCCGCGACATTGATTACCGAACCACGAACTACATGCAGGCGGAATATCTCCTGGAAAGCCACATACCCCAAGAGAGTATCCTGAAGATCATCCGTGTGAAGGAAGAGGATGATAGGTGTGATGCGACTAGCCTTCCGCAACTTAAGCCGAAAGAATGCTCAGCAGGGGAGAAAAAGAAGAGGCAGTCAATGAAGCGCTCAAAGGACTTTAGAAGGGAGAGTTAGGATTAATAATGAACACGTTTACTTTCAGTCTCATCAGTAGCTATGGTGGTATCGAGAACGGGCCCTACGGCAAAGGGTGAATTCGATTATGGTCGGGGCAGCACGGCGGCGGTGATTTTCTATAGTGTACGACCGTGACGACGGATAGGGATTTTATACTTCATAGTTTCTGCATTAAAAATACACGCGAGGCTTTCCATCTATCTTGTGTTTACGTGGCCTAAATGTCTTGCAAACTGTATTAGCCTACAATGCTATTGAGACTGGTACAGTAATTACTACTCCCGCACCACATATTAAAATGAGAGACCAAGAAAAACATGAGGTTGGTTAATCATGTATAATGTAAAGAGTATATAAATCATTAGTAGAGGAACGGAAAATACTAGCAGGCATTAAACCCTTGGTATGATTTCTAGCGATACATGATATCGCAATATCACTTCATTCTTCAATAAATTACCACATATTAATGGTGAATATTAGGGAGACTAGACCCACGGTGCCCAACAAGTACCGGCCATCGACAATCCTCTGGACGCTCATCGATGTGGGAATAGTTGAGTAAGGTACAGCTGAAGGTGATGTGTGTGTCCCTCCACTACTAACTGTGCTGCTGGCTGTCCCCGATGTCACCACACTTGCGGTCTCCTCGTTTGGAGTCACGGAGAGTGTAAGGGTGCTAATAGGGCCACCTGCCGAGGTCCTAGTGACACCATCGACGTCGTCGGTAGCTGTATATCATTAATCAGAATATTTCCCATAAGGTTCCTATAATACGAGCTAGGAGATGACCCACCGGTGATTGATCCACACGATGTTGTGGCAGTGCTGCCTGAGGCGGGACCGGAGGTGGTTGGTGACAAAGTAAGGATACTATTAGTGACGGTAGAGAAGCCCATTATGGAAGTCTCTAAAGGCCCAGATGTCTCAGTTGAGGTTCTCGACGATTGAGAGACTGAAACGAATATGGTGTTCTGCGTGGTAATAGTTGTGCTTGTGGTACCCTCCATGGTGGTCGTCTGCCCAGAGCCGCAGCCTGGAAGCGATACTGTGACCGTATGAGTGACTGTAGCCGGTCTAGTCAAAGTAATCGAGTCCGTGATCGTGATGAATGTAGTGGCGGATGCCATGGCAGTGGTCACAGGTGAATCAGTCGAAGCACCAACGATGGTGTCGGTCATGTCCCCGTAACCATAGCCTTGCGGGGTACTTGCGAGGGCTAGAGAGGTGATGGAGCTAATAATAACTAAGGACTTGCGGAAGATCATGTTGAAAAATGAGCGACTGTGTTGATAACGAGCGAAGAATGATTTAGCAAAGCAGGCTTATTTTCACAAACGGGGAGAAGGAGAGTATTTACCGAGGAACAGAGAATGACAATATTTATAGAACCACATACATTAGCAGCTGGTTCGCGTAAAAGATGTAGCTGGTAGAATTGATGTAGGACAGCTCATTACCTACGCGAGAATGACTAGTCGTATTCGCCTGTCTGGGCCTCACAAGTTTTCATATAAATGTCGCACTAATAACGGTTTGATTTATCATATGGGGATGGGGCTGCGGTTCACAGATGTTTATCCTGTTAGAATATACCTAGCATTACACAAAATGCACGGAGAGCACCGTACCGGATATTACAGGGTGCCACCTCGGTCCGTTATAAAACATCGTGGCAGCAGAGACTCAAAGGCATTAACGAGGGATGATGGGGTCTTTTGGTTCTAAAAGCATGGGTATGAAATATGTTGGGTTAGGTTCTCCTGGGACTACTTGGACTTTTGCCTATGTAAAATCTCACGACTATTTTGATCGTTAATGGTCATAGTGTTGCGACTTGACAAGGAAGTAGATGTATTTTGCACCAGCGATGTCGGCTTGCTCGGGTTACATCTGTGCGATTCGCACTCTATGGTTTTGCCATACTTAAGGAAGAGATTTGTACGACGAAATAGACACGCAAGTA